TTTTTTTTTTTTTTAATAATTCATTCTATACAAGTCATTTTAACCATTAATTTTTGTTTTTCATTTTGATGAAATCAATAATATTTTTCTCTAAAATATATTTAAACAATCTATATAGAATTAAAAATTGTAAAAAAAAAAATTGGTGGTGAATTGGCAACTGGAAAGCGGCCCATACCATGTTGGAATCGAATAACCCAAGGATAAAAGCCCAATTTTAGAAGTCTTTACGAACCAACATTTCACATTTTCTCCCGACTTTCTTTTCCCCTTTTCTTTATGCTTTGACCAAATCTTTAGTATTAACTTTTTAACAAAATTGCAACAATAGTCCTGGACCTATATTCAAATGGCAAATTTTATCTTCAACGTTTAAAAAAGAACAAATTGATCTTCATTCTTTCTCTTTTGTTGCACTATTCATCAATTTTATTGTAAAGTGCTTGTGCGATACTATTGTGATGATATAAAGGACAGAAACATGGATAGTGACAACATCTGAACATTGTCGACTCCATTAACATGACGATATGTTGTTACAAAACAAGAGATACATTAGCCGTTGTTAAAAAAACTATGATTGCAACCAAGGCATTGCCGAAATTTGGTAAGCTTTCGTAGATTAACCAAGATGGAGTTCATTTTACTTGTCCCTTTTTTATACATATTAGTTTTATTTTACTCGTTCTGAACTATATTAATTGGTCATTTAAAGCCATACAAGATTTTAGCAGAATTTGAACTAAGTAGGTTTGAGACAAATTGGTTGTGTGACTACGTAGAGAGTTTGAAGTAATATAGCGGCTAACAGACCATCAACAGACGTGTCATAAAAGGGATAAATGAGACAAGGGATGAACGTTAAGTAATTGCTAGAACATTAGAAACCCATTATCTTATGGAATAAATAAATTATCATGAAGAATTTTAGAAGCTAAAAGCAGAATTAAAATTGACAACCACAATTCATGGTCGATAAATATTATCATTTAGAGAGGCAAGCTAACAGCTAATAGGATAGGAAATTATTGAAACCCAAACCGGACTATTTCACAACGGTTTTGTAAATTGGACCCAAACGTGATGGGTTCACAAGTAACCAAACCAACGATTTCAAAACTACGATTTCAATTCGATTAGCGAGTTGAAAGTTTTTTTTTTTTTTTACCCGTGATTAACTACTCGAATTGTGATCTAGTCCGAGGAAAGAATTTGTTTGTGTTTTTGTATCAATTTCTAGACGACCCCAAAAGTCTTATATTTGCTTAACATTTTTTTGTCAGGCTTTATACAAAACTTTTGTAAAGTTTAGCTTTTTCATCCACTTTTGAACCAATATCTTGTTGTGCAATTTAAGACTAGTCTTTATTGAGGAGGGAGTCGGAAAATTGAATATTTATTAACTTAAAATGAGCAAGTGCTCGAGTGTGAGTGGAAATTACACGAATGGGTATCAAAGTGTGTGTATATATATAATTTTACTCTTTAAATTTATAAATACTCTCTGTTATATTCACAGATGCTTTGAAAATTTGACTCGCATTAGGTTAGTCATTGCGCAATAATCTTAATCTCTCAAACTTCAACTCGCATTTATTCCTTAGATTCATCCAAGAAGTCGTGGTGTGTGTGGGGTTAGAAGAGTGACTTCTCGAACCCCAATCCTTACCTCTTCGGAAATGTTAGTCGAGCGATAAATCTCTTCCTTCGATCTACACCTATTTTAAGTTATTGGGTTTCCCATCATTAGTAGTCTTAGTGTGTACCTTATTATTGTCATTATTAGTATAAATAGAGTGATGGAGGTGGTTATTGTGGGGGGTTATTATTATTGGCATTAATGCGTTTTTTTATACATTAAATGTTAAAACAAGTAACAGATAGGGAAAATCGTTTTAAATCACACAATTTTTCATAAAATAATATTATATGTAAATCGATTTTTTTTTTCAACCACACATTCTCGAAAAAAACACTATTCCAAAAATTATAATCTCAAATAATGGGGGCCAAACGGGCCTTGGTATGAGCAATAGCATTCACATTAACACAAGTTGGATGTGTTAGGTTCAAATCGATCAGTAATATTTAAGATTAAATATTATAGTAAATAAAATTTTAATTTCTTCGATTAATATTGTTCAGTACTATATGCTCTGAAATAAATACATCCTTCGAGATTGTAAGTCCTTTTTGTTTAACATAAATTAAGTATTATCGTGTGCGGTTGAGCATCTCCACCATTTATTAAATTACCTTCAAAGTAAATCCACTTATTATGATTCAAAATACCATAAAAGTGATTATATGTAAAAAATACAAATGATCGTGATTAAATACTACGATACTTGATTTTGGATATTTCACATCATTTTCGCGGTAGATAGGGATCTACTTTTGTTATAATCCTAGAGTATACATAATTGATTTTTAAAAAAATGAAAAGAAAAAAAAAGGATAATAAGCAATGAAATTTACAATGAGTGAAAATAATTGTAAGAGGGACATTGCACCACTTAGGAACATCCATCATTATCCACTATAGTAAACCATCAATATTCATAATGATTATGCAACACATTTCATATTTCTCCTTTTTTGCTACATAATTCAAAAAATATATATTTTTAATTAAAATGGAGGGAAAATATAAATTTTGAGTCTGTAGTTTCTTTTGTTGGAAATAAAGTTCTACTATTTCTTTATTTTAATAGGCTAAGATAAAGGATTTAGGGAAATTTGTACTTGGGTGCTCAACCTTTTCATGAGTGTTCACTTGAGTCTTAAACTAATTTGCCTTAGCATTTAGGTCCTCAGACATATCAGTTTGTTAGGTCTTGATTTTAGTTGAAAACTCGATTATACCTATTTTGTTCCATTAGAGCAAAAATAATAACAAAAATAGAAACAAAAAACTAGAAAAGATTCATGAAAATTGAAGAAATAGAAGGATATCAAGAAACAACAATGGTTAATTGGAGAAATTCACAAGAGAGTGAGATTTAGAGTAGCAACCGACGTGTGGAGAAATTTTGAACAACAAAAATAAGGTTTAAATTCGAATGCCATCTTAATATAAACATTTGCTTTTTATATAACAAGTTGATATAGATTTAGTGCTTGTTATGGAGAAATTATATGTTTTTAATCTATAAATTGATAGAATTATATAGTGAATAAGTACGTAATCAAAAAGGCTAAAGAAACAGGGTTGGTGATCTACCCAAAAACAGGGGACTGAGGTGGCGACACCTCGGCCCTTGATTTGAATTGTGGGCCATCCAAATCAATACCTGAATGGAAGCCACATCAAATCCCTGTTTTTGAGTCGGTCACCGATCCTGTGTATATAACAGAACTCGTACGTAATAGTTCTGAATTCTATTAAATACATAATAATAATAATAATAATAATAATAATAATAATAATAATAATAATAATAATAATAACGACGACGACGTATCGGTGGAGGAATTACCAATACGTAGTGCCCAATGGGCACTGCAATTTTATTTAATTTTTGTTAATTAAGAGAATAAATAAACTCCATTAGTGGTCTACACTTTGCGTGATTTAAACCAAAAAAAAAAAGGTGAAAAAAGGTCGTTTACCCTTTTTGAGTGTCCCAAAAATTCCATGATGTCATGGGCCGACCAATAGAACCAATGTTGGGCCCCACATTTTACTCCACTGGCTAAACGGGCCCACTTGCCCACGTTCTTTTCCCCATCACACGCATTCCTTTCAAACAGAATCCAATCCTACCTCCGTGTACAATCACCTAAAATCATAGCCACTGCGCCAAATGTGGGTCCTCAATGGTTGACCAATTATAATTAACAAAATTACTTTTCATTTTTTAATTAAACTTATTTAATTAGGTGTTTTGGAACTTTATACGAAAATAATCCCATCATCCTTTTTATATTGCATCACACGTTAAAACATCCAATAAATTATAAATCTATTCTGGCCAAAACTCGAGCCTATAATCCATTTGACAAGACTTTTGAAAATTTTAAAATTATTTTCGAGATTAAAAAGCGGTTTCTGAAACTATTTCGATAATATTTTGAAAGTGATTTATTCTATTGGACAGTTTTTAGAAGAAACTAACCTAACTTTCGCAATCAGTTATTTTACAAAAAACAAAAATACTATCAAATAGATAGTGAGCTCGGCTCGTGCTCAAGGGTCGAGCTCGTGAGCTCACGAGCCGCTTGTCAAAAAAAAAAATTTCTCACATTTTTTACGAGTCCATGAGCCGCTTGTCAAAACAACGAGCCAGGCAAGCTCGACTCGTGCTCGGGCTGGTCTTTTTGATGAGCCCGAGCGGCTCGTGGCTCGTTCGGTTCAGTTGCCACCCCTACAAATAGACGTCCAAATGCATGTTTGAGCCCCCTTTCTTTTTTGACAAAATGTATTTTGAAATAATGGTTTGAAAGATAATGTGTGATTGAAAAAAAAAAAAAAAGTCTTAAATTTACGTGTAATTTTATTTTATTGAAAAAAATATGATTGAAAATAAGAGAAAAATATATATTTTGAAAATAATGGAATTAAGACTCAATTTTGTTAGGTACTTTTATCATATCCCAAAAAATTGTATGAAATGTAAGGTCAAAAATGGGAATATAAAATATGATAAAGGGAGTAAGTTGCTTGCGGGTGGGAGGGTCAAATTTTATTGTATGGTTGGGAGTAAAGGACACGAGAAAGTGGAGAACCTAACGGCAACACCTACGTGAGTTGCCCATTGAACCAAAACACAATGCCACATTGACCATTGACCAAACTTCCCACAAAAGAATCCATTCACGAAATCCCTGCTTACGTCATTTCTCCTTCTTCATAATATAAACTTCCATTCACCCCCCACTCACCCATCCTCTCTACTTTTTTCCTTCATAACTCTCCCTATCTCCTCTCTCTAAAAATTCGTTCTTTCCTTTCTCTCCCTAGAAACCAACCGCTGAGTTTGATAGTTTCGATTGCGAAGATGGTGAAGGACGATTTGTACATAACAGTGCCTTGTTATTTTCGGTGCCCCATTTCTCTTGATGTGATGAAATCCCCTGTGAGTCTGTGCACTGGTGTGACGTATGACCGCACCAGCATCCAGCGGTGGTTGGACAGCGGTAATAATACCTGCCCCGCCACCATGCAGGTGCTTCAGACCAAGGAGCTTGTCCCCAACCATACTCTACAAAGGCTTATCAAGATCTGGTCCGAATCTGACTCGGTCCAGACTCGGCCTGTAAATATACAGGCAACTCACCAACCCAGCTCGCTCACTCAAGACAACGTTCATGAACTCATCAACCAGCTGGAAAATGAGCTTAAGAATATTGATAAGGATTCCAGTTTCCAAATCTACACAATTTCGAGGCTGATTTTATTCGCCAAGGAAGTGGAAGAAAACGGCAAGCTCTTGGCCTCAGCCGGCGGCGCTAGGCTTTTACCGTTGTTTATTGCGGCTCTTGGCAATAAACAATTGGTGAAAGATCTTGAGGTTTTTGAGAAATTTGTTCAGTTTTGTAACATAATCTTACAACAGCCAGTAAAAACTGATTCAGTAGAAGGACGATCAAAATCCCCTATGATTTCAAGATTTGATATCGGGAAAGAATTCAAATCTTCAATGATTATAGGACTTTCACAGGGGAGATCAGAGTTAAGAACTGCAATTGCCAAACTTCTCGAAATCACATCCAATTTGTATTTGGAAGTGAGAAATTTGATATCAGAAGACGATCAAATATACTCAGAATTACTAAGATTAATAGCCAGTGTGGATTGTAAACCAGATGCCATGGATTCATCCTTGTCCTGTTTAATCTGTTTAGCATTGTCAAAGAGAAACAGGGCTAAAATCGTGCGCAATGGCGGCGTAGGCGTGTTGGCAAAAGCTCTATCGGAATCAGAATTGAGCGTTTCACTGACGGAAAAAGTGCTTAAACTTGTGGAAATGATGTCGACTTGTAAAGAAGGGAGAGTTGAGATTTGTAGGAATGAAATTTGTGTAGAATCAATTGTGAAGAAGGTTTTGAAAGTAACGAATGTGGGAACTGAACACGCAGTGACAATATTGTGGAGTTTGTGCTGTTTATTCGGGGACAAGAAAGCACAAGAATGTGTAACAAAGAGCAATGGCATGACCAAGATTTTGCTGCTTATGCAGAGCAATTGTTCGGTTGCAGTTAGGCAGATGTCGAGTGATTTGCTCAAGGTTTTTCGATACAAGTCCAAATCTTCTTTTCTTTCGTGTTACGATACTAAGACTATTCATATCATGCCATTTTGACATTGGCGGCAGTGGTGACGGCATACACAGACGATACTATAACTACTCGTATTATGTCATTTTGATGATGGCAGCAGCGACAACGATAGCGAATTTGAAATTTGTATGTTGAAGGAATACATTTTGTAAATGGAAAAAGAAAAGGAGCAATTTTGTTGACCTAAAGATAGGAATGAAATTCATTTTATTTTTCTATATGATTGATTTTGATTTGATGTCTCTTCAAATTTGTTCCACACGTGAATTGGTACTTGTTATTGGAATTTTAGGCTGCAGAATAAATTGACATAACTCAATCCCAGTTGTAAATTTCAAACTAAGTCGGCACGAATCTAGATAGGATTGAATTGGACCTATTATAATTGAGCATGAATCATGCATGTACTTATGGATTATTTATCAAATGCATTATTCCGCTACATAAATGAACGCCAAAAGCTAAATTTATTTTTTCCCCTAAAAATGATGTACGAGTAGATTAAAGGATGAAATAGAGGTCGATAATATATCTACAGGATTCCAAAAAATGGTTGATTGAAACTCGAAATTTCTTTCTGCTTGTAATAAAAGAGTTTATTTAGAACCTGTCTGGTTCCGATTTATTCCCCCAAAAAATCGCTTTTTTGTCCCTTTTTTTCAACCTTTTGGGCCCCACTAAGAGAGAGTTCAGTCCAATGTTACGGTTGCACAGTGTTTTCAACGGCCAAAATTCTGATTAGTAGCACAAAAAGACATGGCCTTAACTGTTTTCAACAGTTCTTTTAGTCAGATAACACTTAAAAAATCATTCGAATATATTCAAAAATAACTTCTATACTCTTCAATCGTAGTTTACTTTCAAATATAAATAATGTCTTCATTTTTAGGATCCCAAGTACTAAGATCATATTAAAGTTTAATTTTACTTGAACTACTACTCATTTTCAAAGGATTAACGTGGCTACATTTTTTGTAAATTTTAGAAGAACATAATTTCTTTTAGTCTCATTTACATTTTGGGTTCAAATATTAAATTTGAGAAATGGTGAGCACATGGGGCCAACGGACAACCAGAATTTCAGAGCCCAAAGGTACAAGTCAACTTATTGAACTAGTTATTGAAGAAAGTGACAAGGTGCCGCAATTGCTGGCACGGCGCCTTCAATTTTGGCTGCTCTAGGCAAAACTTTCCCTTTCAATTAAATTATTTTCAAGTAATAAAATACATAAGATAGTTAGATTGGGATTTTGGGTGGGTGCGGGTATGACTATTGGTTTAAGGGTACGTTTGGAAGGAATTTTGCTTTTTAAAAAAATTATCTTAAAATTTTTTTTTATCTAAAAACTCATCTAACCAGAGTATAGACAAAACACTTTCAAATAATTATTCAAATATATTCAAAAATAGTTTCTCAATTTTAGGAACAAATGGTGACTTTTCAACCCATACGCAATGGATACTAAGCCCTTGGAAAATGTGTGGTTGATAAGAAAAGAGAGAAAAAAATGAGTTTTAGTTTAATGAGGGCCAAACGGGGGCATATTGTTATTATCGCCCTATACTACATTTAGTTGTAGTGTTCTTCTTGGGTGAAGGCGGTCGAATATGAGGTGTACGATTGTTTGAGATTTATCGACTATCACAATTATTATAAGATGATTAAAGAATAGTTGAAAAGGGGACTAGTAAAGAAATATATGTTTGACCAACCCAATAACCTCTGATGAGAAATATAGAAATCACAATTTGAGAATACATTATTAAATTTATAGAATAAAAAGTTTATGGGATCTTGAAAAAAGAAAGTCACTGAGAAAAATGTGGATGGATTCAATGGTTCATTGTTGGCAACTTTGTATTCAATTAAAATTAAATTAAATTTTTTATTTTTATATTTTAGAGAGAATAGTTGGCAATTCATAAAGGTAGAAGAGATTGTTCTCTAAGCACTATAAATCAAAGGTCGGTCCTACCCTTTACCTTTTTCATTTGTTCTTTCCTTTATATAAATATATCTCACCATTGAGTGGGGGTTAAGACTTAAGAGGTGGTTTGTCCCACTAGCGAGTTGAGTAATAAATTCTTGTGCGAATTGCTCGTTGACTCTCAAGTTCTTCGACTCGTAACCATGAGTGAAATATATCATTTTCAGTAAAAAAAAAAAGAAAAAGGGTAATAAGAGGATCATGAGGGTTAGCTTAGTCACACTTTGATTGAACAAGTCGAGCTGAATGACTAGGCTTGTCCCATTTACCACCTCTGATATTGAACTTGAAATCGTACAAATTTGTGAAGTATCTAGATAAAAACTTTCTACTTCAATTATTTCTCCAATTGGGCTTTTTTCAATTTTGAGCTCATAATAATTTGCAAATTTGTTGCTCCCTCTGTACTCTCTAGGGTTTAGACGTGCCTCTAAATAAAATGTAAGGAATATTAAAGGTGGAGGTTAGGTGAAGGTTATTTGTCAAAAAACTTTGTCGACTAGAGGAAAAGTCTCCCAATCAATATTTACAAGTAATTTATTTTTATAATAAACTTCTTTCGTAGATTTTAAAAGTCTCTCCTCTCTCTTTGTTTCAAAAGCCTTGTTTTTAGTAACTTAGACAATTTTCTTTCTATTTCTCTGATAGAACTGTGAGCATTTTCAATTCGTTAAAGTAGTGACGAGATATCAGTCAGTTGTTTTCAGCTGTCATATCTTGGAAGATGGACGTCATCAATCATCTTGCACCACAGTGGAGAACATATATGTTTTAAGGAAATTATGTGTAACACATGTCTCGATTTCTTCAAGCCCCTGCTACTACATCAACAACCAAATTTTCTCTCTTTTATTAGTATTCTCTTTATTGTAATGTTTCTTTTCATTATTTTCTAATTTAGCAATATTTCTATTTTTTCCCTAACAAAATTTACTTTAGTCTTAGGAGTTGCCTTTCGAGAAGAAGCATATTAATGCTATTAAGACTCAACCGGTAAGAAAAACTGTCAAGAAATTTTTTTTTTTTAAAAAAAAAAAAACCTAAAATTGGGGTGATTGTTAAAGAAACATTTTTAGCTCATAAATGTAATGGTTGGTTAAATTGCAATTGGTAGAAATAATATCCTTAATATGATAATCAACAAATGATAATAACAAAAGGACAAACAGCAAGAGAAGTGCACAATATGAGCTATACCGATATATTCTAGATTAAGCAGTTTTTCACAAGAATTCTGCATGACATTTTCATTTCTAAATTTTGAAAAATAATTAAAATAAGATTACTCAAAAAATTTGGGAGAGTAACGAACACGATTATAGTAGTTAACACGAAATCAATGATAAATAGGCTCACATTGCACTTCGAAATGCATTAATCGATCATTTGTGAGATGAATATACGAATTTCAAAAATTAAATTGTAACACTATTTCGATTTCGTAATATCACAATATCGGGATTCGAAACGCACTGCACTAAATTTTAATGACATGATTTAATATTTTCTTATTTGTAGTGTTTCTATAAATTGTACTACATTTTAAAATTTTTTTAGTGAATTTAATATTTTGGCCAATTTAACGTGATTATTTATTTAGCAATTCGTATAGTTGTAAAATAAATAAATAAATTGTTCAGAATAAAAAAATAAAGAACAGGATTAAATGCTAGTGCAAATTACCCAATTCCCTACCTTTCAAGATCTATTTTCTAAAATCAGATCTCAAATTTTAATTTTCAAAATCAGATATTTTTAATTAGATATAGATTATAATTATA